CTAATGAGTTTATGATCCTGCATCTACTGTGAAAAGTTATAAGCATATGCAAGAGTCATGTGAGTTTGGGTGATATTTTCAGTTTGGTGGAAAGTGTATGAGCACTCTCCTTGGCGTTGTTTTTTCCAGTCGCATTTTAGCCGTCAACTCAAAAAACGTGTGCGGTTTTCCTGTCCTCAAGATTTTCAGGTGGTATATGTAAGCTGTCGTATGGCTTTCAAAACAATATCGGTGGACTTTTCTTCAACATGGAGTGAACTGAAAGATGTATGTGACAAAGTTATTCGATGTGAGTCCATAACTCGCGACCGATGGAATGCCAGTTTTGACGATGTTTATGCTCTATGCGTTTCGCGCCCCGTCCAGTACGCCTCGAAATTGTACGAAGAGATTACTTTGCTCATAAAAAATCGAGTGATTGAGATTTATGAAGAAATTGCTGCCTGTGATGATGAGTCGTTGTTAAAAACTTACGTCCAGTTTTGGATGTCCTTCCATCGAGGACTAGGATTTCTCGACCGCCTTTGTGGGTAAGTTATTAGTTATATTTGCGATCTTTCAGTTTTCTGAATGCCCAATATGTTGGCCTGTCTCGACCAGTTGACACATGCTATGGAATGATTTTGACGGGGGACGAAAAAGTCAATATGGAAATAATGGAGCTCGGACTTTCACAATGGAAAACTTACTTAATTGAACCTCTACGAGATCGTCTAACCTCGTGCTTGCTCAAGGAGGTCACTGGGTACTTTTATTATTTTTATTAACGATGATACAGCCATCGATCTGGTTGTGAACACCAGCAACTGTGCATTGTCCCATGCTTGGAGTCATTTAAGCACGTAGACGAATTGAAAGGTTGTATGAAGGTTAGTTACTCATCAGATTTGCCTCTTCTTCCGTATATTTGCTCTATTTTACTATATTCTGGATTCTATGTATTGCTGCTGCCCATTCACGGTTCAATTTGCTTATCTTCTTGTACCCAGTTGAGCAGATCATTCATTCGTAACCCGTAATGTGTCTGCTTGACATGGAAAATACATAAGTTAATTACTGCTTGAGTGACGAAAAGCAGTCTCTCGACTCCCCGTAGCTGCATAGTGTGCGAATGTCGCAGCATTTACTTATTATGGGATTTTCAGTGATTACTTTTCCTCTTACACTTTTTATTTTCCTTCTCATCACCCGTC